AAAGAAAAAGGTACAATAACTCCCCTATACTTAAGAAGAAGAAGATGAAATATCTTCCCATAGCAGTGAACCTCCAGTTGCTGTTCCTGTACCACCACCACCTCCCGGGACCAGAACTGGCCAATTATAGCTCTGGCAAAGTACTCAGGGGAGAAGTAATGGGGGTCTCTGAAGGTTCAATTTTCTATAATTTTTCTTTGCCTGGAAGGCAGCTGTGCGACTCAGTTGGCAGAGCCATTGGCTGTGTGGGAGCGTGGCAGGGAATGACCCAACCTCAATTCAGCTGTGTGGGGAGAGTGGCTGTGGCCTGGCCCTGATCCAGATAGCTAGAGGGACAAGGTCTGGCCTGCCCTAATCCAGCTGCATGGGAATTGAGAATTTGGCAGTGGTTGTGTGGTGGCAGTATTGCTACTGCTCCCCACTGCCAAATTTCCCTACTTGTAAGGAACCCCATGCCCCAGATGCCATGGCTCTGTGGGCTGGATGTGGTCCTCAGGCCTTGGATCAGTCCTGTGATGGCCAACATTTACCACTGGCCAAAGCAGGCACAACAGCATTGACTTCAGTGACTGCTGCTACTAGTTTTGGTGAATTTGTAATAGAGCCAATAACTGTGTTCAAAAATAGCACTAAATTAAATTAACTGTAAGTGGACAGTGATATTTATAGCTCAGTCTATGTTATTATTGCCTGATTGTTCCCAGTTTCAGTTTGTTTACAGTTTTTCACATATTGACTCCTTACTCGAGTTCTTTTAACATAGGTTTGAAATGTGAATATGTTTTATTTTTTCCCCAGTAAATATACAATACACACTTCAACAGTACTATTAACCAACTTTTTATGCCAATTAAACTTTGCTGCACTAACAATACCAATGAAACACATTAAGAGGTCATACTTTTTTGTGAAAAAACTGTAGCCAATAAACAAATTTAAAAAAACAATTCTAAGTGCTGCCAAAAAATCCCTTTTGTTTAAACACATTATTCACAATAAATGTATTCCATTTTTAAAAATGAAAGAATACTTCTTTTAAAATAGTAAATTAAACTGCATTTTAAAAAATATGTATTGTGGTTCATTGGAAGTATACTGTATAGAAAAGAGAGAAAAAAAAGAGACATCACCTGTAAGAAAATGGAGACACTTTGCCATACACACCGACTCCTTCTTATGAAATATTGTAAGCAACTTATTAATGAACAAAAACATAGAGAAGCAGATGGACAAGTTAGTGAATATCATGGTACTGCACAGCTTTAATACTGACACACATTTACTTTCCAGTGGAAGAGATAAAACACATACCTGAAAGTAACTGGAATGGCTTTTATAAACTTCTAATGGTACCAATATTTAAACAGTATTTAGTAAGTAAGGTGTTCCACCAAAGCTCAGCACAGCGGTCAAATAAATCATCCAAATAAATAATCTTTTTGTGATATAAAAACATCAAAAATCTTATACCCTTTTTACCTCTGTTAAATATGTTCATTTTAAACAATGGTTTTAACTATATGCATTAAACCAGCAGGAAAGTTACAAAGATTTTTTTGGTTAAATATATAAATGGATTCATACTCTTGCTTTGATTTCTTTTGGCTTGTAACCTGCTAAGTAACAATGTTGGCCTTAAGTAAAGTCATTTTTTTTTAATATTCGCTAGTGCTGAGTTAAAAATGATAACTGCAGTGTTTTATCTTATCATGGAGCAATTTAATGGAATGAAAAGCAACACATAAATTTAGCAGTATAATTTACTTGTCCTAGAATTTTTCCATCACTAAAAGTGTACTTAATACTGGTGAGCTCAAGGCAATATAAACAACAACATAGACTGGTTATACTTAAAAAGTGTATAAATGCAAACTTGTATTCATGATCAAATAGCTAATAGAAAAAAGCTGTAGAAAGAAATATTTAAATTAAGTATTGAATGAATGTGCTCTACATGTACATGTTTCTAATAGTTGACATCTTAGTCACTGAGATTTGAGGGGTTTATGAAATTTAAACTAAGTCATGGAAACTAATGATGAGACAGGATGCTGTTATTAATGTCCACTTACAGAGTCTGGTTTATTCAAAAAGCGTATAAACATGCGTTATTTTCTCATTAATTTAAATCCAAGCATTAGAAATAGGTCCAAGATTTTCTTTGTTTGGATCCAATTTTTGAGAATTTATCAAATTGCAAGAAACATATTTACTACAAACTGCTGCTTTCTTTTCAAATGCTAATACTTTTTTACTATTGATTCAGTGGATTTCACTTCAGTTATTGAGGACTTCAGTTACTGAAACACAAAGACTTGTTGAGACTGCATAAAAACAATTAATGTCATGAATTTCAGTGATGCAGCTCTATCCTCTGTACTGTACATGTATCGGAAAGATGAAATAAGGTATTTTGACATATTTCTTTTTTGGAAGCAGCCTGAATATATCTCAGTAATAAATTGCATCCTTAACTACTTGCTTGATATTCCTAGAGTTCATATTGTTTTCTTTCTGGGAGATCTTGGCATTATTGGGTTGGAGAGATTAATTATGGTAAACCTTTTTCAAACTGCAATATAAAAACGCTTTAGTGAAACACCTTAATTCCTTGAATTTGTTGCAAGGGTCCCCCTCTCTTATTCAGTTGCATTTGGTGGGTAAAAACTGATATTAAGAGTTGAGAACCTTCTGATTCTATTCAAAGGTCCATCTCATGCTATACTCTTTTCTTCATATTCACTTTTGAAACTCATATTTCCATCCTTTGACCCCTTTTTAAATAGTAAAAGCAACCATGTTGCTTTTTATTACACAATTTAATTCTGCCCCTGATGTCTTCACTAACATCAATTTTGCCTGTCATCTTCCTATTTCTACACCCCAATGGAAAACCATCTAACATACTCCATTACATCCAATGTTATCCAACAAAGTTCACAGCACATAAACGCTCTTCACACATTCAGTCTTTTTTTCTTCTTCATGTCACGAGGAGTAGAGTTTTGTGCTTATCACCAAATAAAATTGCAGTGCAAACTTTAAACATAAAAGTTACACAATTAAAAGTTAATATATGGCACCACAGCCTATTAATTCACATATAGTACAACAGACCAATTAAAACAGACAATAATATGAACATAGCTAAAAAGGTGAGCTTGCATAGCAATGCAACAAAAGAAATTATATACAGAGGGAAATCCTTTTCATCCTTCAGGGTGATTTTTTTCTTTCTTTTTTATATACTCCTGACAAGAAATAGTTTAAGGTGGATGGTGTATTAAAGAGAAGAACACAAGTAAAGTATCTGTGGGATATGTGTGGCTGTGTGTCTTTACATAGCATTTACAGTTCTTTTAATAGTACATAAATAAAGAAAATGTTCATTGCACTGTTTAGTGTCATCACTTCCATGAGTTCAGACCTGATGGTCCATTAGAGCAGCTTGGGATGTCTCTTCTTAACTACTCTATAGAAAAAGATAGAGAGAAAAAAGGTTGCAATATGTAAGAGGAAGTTAAATGTAAAATTACTGCAGCACACACAATAAACATGCTTAGTTATTTTGTTCAACTTTTTTTGGATAAGAAGTGTTTGACATTTAGCACTTATCAGTTGTCATCTTTGAGATATAACATTTCACTGCATGTAGGGGGGAGAGGTGAGTGTGTGAGAGAGAGACAGAGAACTATTGTGTCTTTCTCACCATACAGTGTGGTAACTTGGTTAATACTAACAGCGTCTACACGAGATGTTTTCCGCAGTTCCCTAATTAGCCCTGCAGTAAAGTGTCTCCATCTACATGTGCAGAGATATTAGGCAAGAGTAAATTAATTGACTCTGCTGTAGCTTAGTACTGTCTGAGACAAGTACTATCCTACAGTGGAATTTTTTACTCAGTCACAATGCGTAAATGCTGACAGGGCTGGCTGGAACGTGAGAGTGCAACCACATGGGGGTTGTCAGCCAGCTAGCCCCACACTATAGCACCATCATGCCCCAGTCAGCCACTATACACCACAATGAGCCCGACAGAGCAGCCCCAAGTTGGCGGGCTAACTCCTGGGGCCCCCTGCCAGCCAGGGCTTCACCACCCTGGCTCAGTGCTGCAGTCTCAGGGGCACATGTAAATGCTGTGCCCAGGAGCAATAAACTCTGGCATGAACCGTGCTACTTCCATGTGCAGATACATCCACTAAAAATCTGTTTTGCCTCTTAGAGTGATGTGCAAGTGCTGTCACTGTACAAGGTAAGGGGTTGTTAGTACTTGGGCTAACAAAAGGCCTGTTCTAATGCTCAGTGGATTCAGTTTCCATTTACACTATCATTGCAGACTTACAGATATATTAAATAAATGGCCCTAGCATACATCACAGCATTGCATCTATTAAAATCACTTTGTAGGGTTCAGTCTCACCCAAGTCTACTGCCAAAGAGAGACAAATTTAAACCACTTGGCCTCATCATAGGGAAGAGACCTTTCAGAAGTGACAACAATCTGGGTCAGAATCATATCTGACTGTCAGAATGAGCCTCCTCCTCTCTAGAGTTCAATTCTGTATCACTGAAACTATTAATGAGGTTTTTGTGTCTCTTTTGACAGTTTGAATTGTAACTACAAAGGCACTTACATAATTCACCAGTAAACTGTCCTTGACTGTTTGATCCCACATAGCCTACATCTAGAAGGTCACTGGCATTGCGTTGGTGACCTCCTCGCAAGACTTCACCTTTTCTAGGTCCAGTTGATCCTTTAGAAGATGCAGTTCCTGAAGAACTGTGACCACCTGGGGATGGGAAGCTGGGCTTACTATATGGCACCAGTGCCTCCTCTGGAAGAAAAGAAAACAGAAACAAAGTAAAACTATAACTTCTTTATGAAATACATCACCCAGATGAGAACAAACAGCCATTAAAGATTGCATGTAAAAGGAGATTTGTTTTCTTTTCTTTTGCTGTATGATATGGCAGCAGTACCTAAAATACCTTCATGTTCATTTTCTGCTGCTTCCACAACAATGAAAACAGCATGAATTTAATCTTGTTTTCATGTACACTCATAAATTTGTTTGTATTAATTATAAACATCTAGATTCATTATGAAAAAAGAGATGATGAATCATAGATTGCTTAATAAAAATAGACATGCACATGCAATACAATTTCCAGAATAATGCAGCTATGATTAGTTTTTTGCTTTAAGCTTGGAGAAACGTGCTTTTTCCCCCTTTTCTTTGGTTTTAAATTATGGTTACATTACCTCAATCAATTTAGATAAAGAACTACAGTATCAGCTAATTTAATTAGCTTCTTTCAGTTCAGTAATTTCCAAGGATGTAAAAGCATATTGGCGATTATTTTACTGGTTGTAAATTCCAATGGAAAACTGTATTGTACAAGTAATTTTAATGCTTGGAACATTTGGGATGTATATATTTTTTTCTTTTTCTTCTTGGTGCCCTACACTGGACACAGGTTCAGTTTTCTGTCTATACCTCCTTTCAAGAAAACCTTTGACATGAGGCTGCTAAAGGGAGGAGGACCATACCTAGAAGCAGTGCCCTCCAGCACACTGCTGCTTTTCATCAGGAACTGAAAGCAAAAGAACAGAGTCCACATGGGACGTTAGGTGGGCTAATTAACACTTATGAATGACAGCCTGACTGTAGCACTTCATATTAGGACACAGCCTAGACAGAGTAGCTTGATTTCGGACACTATGTTTAGGACACCACTGCAATGGATAGTAAGTTTACCATGAATACATAATCAAGAACTAATACCTGGTGCTCACAGGTTCACACCCTTATGTTTTTTTTCCACAATATCTAGCAAAACAAGGCCTCAGATTTGATTGGGGTTTGGGTACTGCTATAACTATAACAATGGAAGCAACAAAGAGTAGGATTGGTCTGGCACATAAACCATAGAAGCAAGCCATTTATTTTGTAGAACTGGTTTGTTTTCTTGTACACACAGTGCTCAAGCCATCTTGAGGAAGGAACCTTGTCAGTTTGTAAAACCTAGTTTCAGCAAAGAACTTAACCATATAGCTAACGTTAAGCATATGAGTAATCCTCATTGAAGTAAATGGGACGACTCACATGCTTATTTCTACTTGCTGAAGTACTTTACTGGATCAGAATCTAAGTTGGGTTTCTCTTTCTCTTCTTCCCATTACTAAACGATGTTACTGAGTGAGACATGACTCGTTCAATACAGGGTGAAGAAAGATGGGGATGTTTGGAAAAGGGAAAGGAAGATGAGAGGAATCTTAAAACTCACAGAGTAGGACGCTAGCTCTTCAGGGAATAAGGACTGATATCAGTTTTGTGTACTATGACTGTACTGTCCTTGGTAAAATGTAAGCAAACACTTAAAAGATATAAGAAAATAGCATCTGTCAAAGACCTTTACATTTTATTAACAGTTTTTAACCAGCAAGCACTAACAAGAAACCCAGATGTCAACCCTCTGACTAAAGACTGCCTGAAATATGGTACAATGTGCAAAGAAAGCAATAAAAGCAAGTAATGTAAATCAGTTTAGCAGAGAGCTGGCTGCATGTTTTGGGAATGAAAAGTTGCTAGTTGCACAGAAGAGTTTGAGTGTGAAATATATTGAAAACTTATTTTTGGGGGGGAAGGTTTCTATTTTTTCTCAGGGTAAGGGTATAATGGGTATAGTGAAATATTTAAAAAGATCCTATTATAAATCATATCTCTGTTAATAATTTAACTGAATGTATGCTGGTGTGAGATATGTATGTAATACATAAATTAAATCATTACATTAAATCACAGATGTAACAAAGGATTCTAATATTCTGTCTAAATCCCCTAGTCAGTTCTGAAGTTCTTCAGTTGTGCTTATTGAGTGTCATTTTTTCCCAGCACTGTGATCCTCAAGAGGTCCACTGACTATGTTTTTCCCTTTGCAGGACTGAGCTTTAATTTGCTACACTTCTTGCACTTATACAACAGGAAAAGCCTTTATATAGTCCACTTCAGTTGAGCAACTAATGACTTAATGATTATCAAACCTGGTCTTACATTGTGCTGATCCCTGAGGTAACTCAACATACAACATTTAGGGTTGAAGCTACTAGCTGGAACACCTTAGAGGTGATCAAAAGTAATCAGCAAAGACACTTTCTAGAATTAGGCTATGGGTGCTCATTTAAAAAATACAAGGACTTGAGGAGCAAGAGTGCACAACTAAAACCTTCCGGTTACAGGTCATGGGCTGAGGAGGAAGAGAAGAACTGAGGCAGTAAACAGAAGACTGCAGCATTGGTGCCACTGTGAAGGCTTCAGCGACCACAGTCTGCTCTTCCGAGAGAGAGGCAGCGGTCTGTTGGGAAGAGATGGCCTCCACCTTACTCCACTGGGGAAAAAGCTCTTCTCAGCCAGAATAGCTGACCTGCTCAACCGGGCTTTAAATTAAGCTTGCCAGGAAATGGGCAGATAACCACCAGAGCAAGCTCACCACGCATCAACTGCAAAATCAGCAGGTTAGGATGCTCAAGGGAACCCACTCCTACTCTAGCCCAGGAACAGAGCTTTTCCATGAGTACAAGGAAGCCTAGGGCCTCCAGTGACATACTAGCCTGTACACTAATGCTAGGAGTTTGGGGAATAAACAGGAGGAACTGCTAAACAAAAATGACTATGATCTCATAGAGATAACAGAGACCTGGTGGGACTCCTCTTATGACCAGACTATGAGTATAAATGGTTATACCCTGTACAGGAGAGATTGTGTTGAAAAAAAGGGCAGTGGTGTAGCTCTCTATGTAAAGGAGAACTACACGTCCCTACAGGCTGAGATTGGTATGCAAGGAGGATGGCTGGAGACCCTTTGGGTTAGAATATGAGGGGAACGTAGTGAAGGGGATACAGTGGTAGGAATCTACTACAGACTTCCAACTCAGGAACAAGAGCTTGGTTGAGAATTTGTCAGGGACTGGCCAAAGCTGCACACTCTCAGTGCATGGTTGCCATGGGAGACTTCAACTACCTGGACATATCATGGGAAGAGCACTCGGCCAAATCCAATCAGTCTCAAAGCTTTCCTATATGCATGGATGAGCTCTCCCTGTCTCAAGAAGTTTATGGGCCGACAAGAGGTAAGCCACTGCTGGACCTGGTACTGGCCAAAGAGCATGATCTTATTAGTGACCTAAGAATCAGAAAGAACTTGGGTGACAGTGACCATGAGTTGACCACTTTCACTATCCATCACAAAGCTGGCAAGTCAGCCAGCAATGCGGTAGTCCTTGACTTTAGGAAAGCTGATTTTCATAAATTCAGGAGGCTTGTTATTAAGGCCAATCTGCTTAATGATTACTTTGCATCAGTTTTTCACCAGCCCAAAGGGACCACCTTGCTTTACATGATGCGGGATGACCAAGGTGAAAGCCAATGTGGTGCCCATCTTCAAGGAAGGGAGGAAAGAACACCCAGGAAACTACAGGACAATCAGTTTGACCTCAATCCCTGGGAAGATTTTGGAAAAAATTATCAAAGAAACCATTCTTGACAGGCTAACAGAAGGCAACATTCTGACGGATAGCCAAAACGGGTTTGTTGCGGGTAGATCTTACCTGACCAACCTCATTTCCTTCTATGACCAGGAGACGTATCACCTGGATAAAAGAGAAGAGGTTGATATCCTATATTTGGAATTTTAAAAAAGCCTTTGACCTTGTTTCCCATGATGTCCTCATGGAAAAATTGGGCAACTGCAGCCTTGACTACTCCACAGTCTGATGGCTGGGGAACTGGCTTTGAGGTCAGACCCAGAGAGTGGTAGTTGATGGAACAAAATCAACATGGCACTCAGTGACTAGTGGTGTCCCTCAAGGCTCTGTTTTCAGTCCTGTACTCTTTAATGTCTTCATAAACAACCTGGACACTGGTGTCAGAAGCAGACTGGCTAAGTTTGCTGACAACACCAAACTTTGGGAAAGAGGGTCCACACTTGAAGACAGGCTGGTGATCCAGGCCAACCTTGAAAAGGCTTACAAAGTGGGCAGATGAAAACCTGATGGCATTCAATATGGAGAAATGCAAGGTGATCCACCTTGGGTAAAAATCGTCCATCACATTTATAGGCTTGGCAATGCTACACTCACTAGTGCCATGGTCAAAAGGGACTTGGGGGTCATGATTGACCACAAGATGAACATGAACCATCAATGTGATACTCCAGCAGGAAAAGTGAACAAGCCTCTGGCTTGCATCTACCGATGCATCTCAAGCAAGACCCAGGATGTCATCCTCTTCCTGTACTCAGCCTTGGTGAGGCTGCAGCTGAAGTACTGCATCAAATTCTGGGCTCCACAATTTAGGAAGGATGTGGAGAAGACTGCAAGAGTTAAGAGGAGAGCCACATGCATGATCATGCCTTATGAAGACAGGCTGCCAGCTATGGGACTCTTCAGCCTGGAGAAGCATAGGCTCAGGGGTGACTTGGTGGCAGCCTATAAGTACATAAGGGGTGTGTATCAGAATTTGGGGAAACACATGTTCACCAGAGCACCCCAAGGGATGACAAGGTCCAATGGTCACAAACTCTTGCAAGATCAGTTTAGGCTGGACATAAGGAAATACTTCTTTACTGTCCGAGCCCCCAAGGCCTGGAACAGACTCCCCCCAGAGATGATGCAAGCACCTACTCTGGACACTTTTAAGAAACATTTGGATGCTTATCTTGCTGGGATCCTTTGACCCTAGCTGACTTCCTGCCCCTTGGGCAGGGGGCTAGATCCGATGATCTTACGAAGTCCCTTTCAGCCCTAATGCCTACGAATCTATGAGTTCATACTCCT